TTTTTGTATCTCCACTGCTTAGCACAACACCTGACACATAGTAAGTGCTTAATACATATTTATTGAGTGTTTGATGTGATTGCCAAATGAAAAATGGATAACTTCATATGGATTTAATCCTCGGAAAGATTAATCTCGATTCTTACCTATCTCTATAATCCATGAGTGATTCAGCATTACTCACTCACTAGTAGAGCCTTCTATATTTCAATGGAATCATGATTTCATCATTGTAGATCCTCTCTCCAACACTAGGACAGATCTCAACCCATCTCCACCATTTCCTCCTGTGCAGTTCTTATCATCCATAAAAGATTCACTGAATATACTAGTTGCTTTTCTCTAAGTCTTTTAATATGTTGTGGATAACAGAGTGGTACCCAAGATGTCCATTAGTCTTAACTGTATGACCAGCCTACTTCCTTATCTGGTCATATGAATGAATAAATAAAAGAATGAATGAATTAAAAAGCATTTATTTAGCATTTATTATATGCTAGGTATTATCCTAAACAAAGAGGACACAAATACAAAATCTAGTAAGACCCTACATGCAAGGAACTTACATTCTAATAGAAGACAATATATATGGTGGTGGCCAAGGTGTGTTTGGATCAAGGCAGTCATGGAGACTGTACATGGAGCCATAGATTGTTTGACATGTTCATTTTTGGAGTGGTAGTGTTGATTTGGTTACTGTTCCCAGAGCAAGAGGTAGAAAGTTAGCATGGAGAGAAGATGGCTAAGGAACAGAAGCTTAGGTAGGCAGAAAGGGGAGCCTGGGTCAATTTAGAAATACCGGAGACTCACTAATCAGAAGACCAGGTCCTCAGGGCCATAAGTGAATGTAGAAGGAATCTGGAGGAGTATGTGTGTGTGTGTGTGTGTGTGTGTGTGTGTGTGTGTGTGTGTGTGTGAGTGAGTGTATGTGTAATTGTTCCCTTTAGTCAACCTTTCTCTATCCTTTGAAGCCTCTCAGCAGATGAGCTAACTCAGGTTGCAGGTAACCAATAGCCCTCAAACCTGTTGGTGAGTTAGGGAGATATCTGTCCCAAGCATGTGAAGTCTTCCCCCAGTGAAATGAGTGGATAATAAGAATTTGTTCCAATGGCCATGAAGGTGGGTGAAGCAGGCCTTGTGGAGTGCTTAGAGCTTGTTCAGACATTGAACGCACCAAGGTCATCCACTGCATCCTGGGCCATTGCCAGTTGTCTTGATTTTTGTCCTGCCACTGGACTTCGATGACTAGAAGAGAGAGTGAGGTTGATGACTTTGTGCAACTCCACCTCACTTAAATCCAATTCCGAAAAGAGTCAAGACATCGCCCTGTGATCTCATTGGTCCTCTTCAAAATTGAAGGACAAACAACAACAATCCTAGCCTTCCAACTGGCTGTGTTAACATTGAAAAGTTACTGAACTCTGTTCTGGTCATTCTAAGATTCCTTTGTGCTTAGCATTCCCTTCTTTAACGTGAGAATAAAGTATCTCCGTATCTGATTCATGTATGTATATTGGTACCTTTTAAACTTCTACCCCTTTTAGGGGAAAATCCCAGACTAGAGCCAAGAAGTAGAATTGCCCCCAGAATCTCTGATGTCTGGGGATGATGAGCCAGTGAATATGAGAACTGAGGAATCTACTTTTCTGATTGAGAGGTCAGGCTTCCCCAGCAATGAACCCACTATACAACCACATGGCTGGGCAAGAGGGAAGAGTAAGCATCCTGTATATACTTACATATAAGAACACATATAAGTATATAAACCCACAAGTACAAAAATATTTATAGCAGCTCTTATTGTTGTGACAAAGAATTGGAAATTGAGGGGAATGGCTGAACAAGTTGTGGTATATGAATGTAATGGAATACTGTTGTGCTATGAGAAATGATGAGCAAATGGACTTCAGAAAAACCTGGAAAGACTTGTATGGTCTGATGCTGAGTGAAGTGAGCAGAACCAGAGGAACATTGTACATAGTAACAGCAACATTGTATGATGACTGACTTTGATATACTTGGCTCTTCTGAGCAATGCAAGGATTTAAGACAACTCCAAAAGACTCATGATGGAAAATGCTATCCACATCCAGAGAAAGAATAATGGAGTCTGAATGCAGATTGAAGCATGCTATTTGCTCTCCTTTTCCTATGTTATTTTGTTTTATTGCTTCATTATCATGGCTCCTTCCATTAGTTCTAATTGTTCTTTACATCATGACTGATGGGAAAATATGCTTAATATGAATGTACAAGTGGAGCCTATATCAGATTGCATGTCATCTTGGGGGGAGGGGAGAGAGGGGAAGAAAATTTAAAACTCAAAATCTCATGGAAGTGAATGTTGAAAACTAAAAATAAATTAGTCATTTTTAAAAAAAAATAAATGCTAGTTAGGGAGGGAGGACACTAGCAGCTAGGAGAATCAAGAAGGACCTCAGGCAGAAGATAGTGCTTGAATTGCATCTTATAAGAAGAGAGAGACTCTATGAGGCCAAGGGGAGGAGGGATTGTATTCCAGACGTGGGTGATGACCAGTGCAAATGCACTGAGAGAAGAACAGAAAGAAGACCAGTTTGACTAAACTATAAAGTGTGGAAAGGAGGAGAGGTGGCCGCTAAATGATGGAGTAAGGAATAAGCCAACTCCTCCCCCTGGCTTGATGGATCATGGGGCTGCAGTGAAGGGAAGGGACAGCCAGCCTTTGAGAGGGCCAAGAAATGAGGCATTTTCTGGAGAAATCAAAGTTTCCCCAAGCACCAGAAAGTAAAATAAAGGTGTCAGTTGGGGCTCTAGGATGAAGGAGAGTTTATTATAAACCAAGGAGTATTCCAAAGGACAAAGTGGAAAGGAAGAGTAGATGAAGATAAGAGCTGGGTAGGATAAGGATTGAGTTTACTATTAGAGGAAGTGAAAGGGGGGAGGTTAGAGGCTAGGTTTTGTAACTGACCCCTCAGCTGATCCTGGGCTGATCTGGGGTGACCCATGCACATAGCACAGGTCCCCAGACCAGACAATCTACTTCTAGAGGATGGCAGGACTCAGGTGAGGGGTATGACAGCCATGGAACCCTGCTCAGGGGGGTTGGGGAGGGGAGCGGAGCACCAAAAGAACAGACACTTACTAGTTGTGTGGCTATGGACAAGGTGTTTGACCACTCTGAATTCTCCTGCTCTGAGGAAACTTACATTCACCTAGGAGAAACAGCAGATACACAGAAAACTATATACAAAATCAGTGCAAGGTACAGTTATCCCTTCCACATCATGACTTTCCCCATTGTGATTTCGATATATTGTGAGTGAGAATAAGAAATTAAATGGGAATTTTGGGGGAGTTTTGCGGAAGCTGCATACGACACATGAAGGCCAGCAGATGACACAGAGCCTATGATCAAACACTTAACCTTGCCTCAAAGCATAGAGATGCTATGAGGATAAGTGAGATCATCCTGGAAAAGTGGAAAAAAATTCAATTCTCTGAGAAGAAGCTACAGAGGGAAATAAATCAAGGACTTATTAGTGGTAGCAGAACATTATTATTACTGTTTCCAGTAATAACATGAAGCCAAATAAGCAATTTTGCAATCTGCCATTTTGGAGAAGGGATGTGGACATTTGAAGCTTAAAAAGTGATCCAAACACTTCTTCCAAGCAAAAGAAAGAGAATGGACTTTGTAAGGCAATATCCCTGGGAACCTAAAAATTGCTTTTGCTGTTAAGTCCCAAGGTCAGTGAAGAAGAAATGTAGCACCAGGTTCTAAGAATCGTAGATTTAAGAGTTGAAAGAGAATTCCAAAGCTATCTAACTTAACCCCCTCATTTTACAGTGAGGAAATTTCCTCCCAGAAAGGTTGAGTGATTTGCCCAATGTCACATACATACTAAGCAGCAGAGCCAGGATCTGAAGCCATGTCCTCTAACTCTAAAGCCATCAGAGGCCATCTTATTGGACCCATATCTGAGCAAGAATTTGTTTTACACCATTGCCAAGCTAGATGGCACAGTGGATAGAGCTCTAGGTTTGGAGTCAGGAAGTCCTGAGTTCGAATCCAGCCTCAGAAACATCTTAACTGTGTGGGGAAACACTAGCCCAGATAGGGAAATCAACTTGCCCCGGAGCACAGTCAAGATCAGGCTTGACTCCCAGGCTAGAGTTTCTTCTACTATACCTCAATATAAAAGTGTTTTAAAAAGTTAAATGTGCTACTTGGAAAAGGAAGACCTTGGTTCAAATTGTGCCTTAAGCTCTTACTAGCTGTGTGATCCTAGACAAATAACTTAAACTCTCAGCCTCATTTTACAAAAATTGGGGATAATAACACCTTTCTCCAATGACTCTTGTGATGATTGAACAACAACAACAACAAATGGTTATCTGGCCTTTAACTGAATAGCTCCAAGGAGAGGGAACCTTCTAAGGCAACTCCTACGTACAAATAGAGCTCCTTGTTAGGAAGGCTTTCCTGACGTCAAACTCAAATTTGCTACTTTGTAACTTCCACCCATTGCTGGTCATCCTAGTTCTGACCTGTGGAGCCAATCAGAATAATCCTAATCCCTCTTCCATGTTACTGCCATTCAAATTTTTGAAGATATTGTGCATGCTCCCCCGCCCCCTCAAATCTCTTCTCAAAATTAAACATCCCAAGATATTTCATATGGCATGATCTTGGGACCTTTAACTGGATTTCTGGATTGGGAGGGGGAGTTTAGAGGTGATTCCTTCTATTGCTTAGTAGAGTGGAGCATCTCTAAGTCCCATTGGAGTATTTCCAGGGAATCTGGGACCCTCTGTGCCCTAAGGCACCAACATATTTTCACTTATCTCATGACACCTTTCACCATCCTGGCTGCCTTCTTAATGGTGTAGAACCTATCTCTGGTTCTGTTCATGGAATTTGAAAAGAACTATAAAATGGAAGGTTTGGATTCATCCATTTTTATGGTTCTGTCCAGCTTTGACACTGTAATTTTGTGGTTCTTATTGCCTTTGCCCAGCATCAAGACAGAAGAAATGCAGCACAAGGCCTCTCTACCCAGTCAGGGACCAGACGGGCACTCACCCATTCAGACAAGATGAGTCGATCACTGGTGAGTACCCAGGGTGACCTCATCAGGAGCTCATTAACAACCACAGGAAGGATGAGGAACCATGGCTGAGTCACAATCCAGACAAACTAACCAAAACCAGGTTCTAGTTTGACAGAGTGAGAGCCTTACACCCAGGAGCCATCAGAGAAGGCTCTGTGACCCCATAATTCTACAGAAGCCCAGGGCCTCCCCTGAAGAAAGCAACTCTATGAAGCTCCTACCAATATCATGAGATCCTGAATCAGTGATACATCCCAGGCCTTCTGTTTCAAGAGGTTATTAACATTTCTTACATGAAAGGCCTTCCTACTCACTGGCAGTACAGTGAAGCTTATGGACTCTCTCAGAATAATGTTTTTTTATGATTTAATATTTTTTATTTTCCCCAGTTACATGTAAAAACAATTTTTACTTTTTTTATATTTTGAGTTTCAAATTTTCTCCCTCACTCCTTCCTCTCTCCCCTCCTTGAGAAGGCAAGCAATTTGATATAGATTATACATGTGCAGTCATGCAAAACTTATTTCGACATTACTTATGTTGTGAAATAGACCAAAAAACCCCTAACAACAACAACAACAACAACACAACAAGAAAAAAAGGAAAGTAAAGAAAAAGTATCCTTTGATTTGCATTCAGACTCATCAGTTCCTTCTCTGGAGATGGATAGCATTTTTCATCATAAGTCCTTTGGACCATAAGTCTTGGATCATTGTATTGCTGAGAATAGCTAAGTCATTCACAGTTGATCATTGTATAATATTGCTGTTACTATGCACAATGTTCTCCTGATTCTGCTCACTTCACTTTGCATCAGTTCATGTAAGTTTTCCCAGATTTTTCTGAGACCATCCTGTTCATCATTTCTTACAGCACAATAGTATTTCATCACAATCATATACAACAACTTGTTCAGCCATTACCCAATTGGTGGTCATCCCCTCAATCTCCAATTCTTTTTTTTATTATAAATATATTTAATTACATAGTAATATGTCATAAGAAATGGCCTGATTATCAGTGGTATGTTCATGCTGGCACATGCTGGAACTATGATATTTAGGATTTGTAACTTTGGCAGTCCATTCAATGACTTAAATGCCAATCTTACTATAACTTAGTAGATGGTCTTTTTTAAATTTATTTTTTATTAATTTATTTTGATTTATCAACAATCACTTCCATAAGCTTTTGAGTTTTAAATTTTTCTCCCCCTCCCTTGCCACCTCCCTCCCCAAGACAGTGCACAATCTGATACAGGCTATACATATATATTCCTATTAAACATATTTTCATATTAGTGATATTGTAAGGAAGAATTAGAACCAATAGGAGGAACCACCAGAAAGAGAAAACAAAACAAAACAGAAGAAAAAAATAGCAAATAGTATGTTTCTATCTGCATTCAAGCTCCATAGTTCTTTCTTTGGATGTGGATAGCATTTTCCATCATGAGACCTTTGGAGATGTCTTAGATCCTGGCATTGCTGAGAAGGGCTAAGTCTATCAATGTTAGTCATTGCACAATGTGACTGTTGCTGTGTACGATGTTCTGCTGGTTCTACTCACTTCACTCAGCATCAGTCCATACAAGTCTTTCCAGGTTTTTCTGAAGTCCACCTGCTCATCATTTCTTATAGCATAATAGTATTCCATTACATTCATACATCACAACTTGTTCAGTCATTCACCAATTGATGGACATTCTCTCAATTTCCAATTCTTTGACACCACAAAAAGAGCTGCTGTAAATATTTTTGTGCACATAGGTCCTCTTTTTTTTTTTATCTCTTTGGGATACAGACCTACTAGTGGTATTACGTGGTCAAAGGGTATGCATGGTTTTATAGCCCTTTGGGAATAGTTTCAAATTTCTCTACAGAATAGTTGTATACAAGTGGTATACAATTTCACCAACAGTGCATTAGTGTTTCAATTTTCCCACATCCACTCTTAACATTTGTCATTTTCCTTTTCTGTCATAGTCTATTTGATAGGTATGGGATGGTAGTTCAGAGATGTTTTAATTAGTATTTCTCTAATCAGTAGTGATTTAGAGCATTCTTTCATATGATTATAGATGCTTTGATTACTTTATATAAAAACTGCCTGTTCATATCCTTTAATCATTTATCAATTGAGAAATGGCTCTTATTTTTATAAATTTGATTCAGTTCTCCATATGTTTGAGAAATGAGGTCTTTATCAGAGAAACATGCTGTAAATTTTTTTTCATAGTTATGATTACTAACTGTATTTCCCTTCATCTTATTCCCTCCCTCATTTATCCTACTCACTCTCCTTTCATCCTGTCCATACTCACAAGTGTTTTGCTTCTATCTTTTACCTACCGCAATCCACCCTCCCTTCTATCATCTTCCTTTTCCCCTCCTATTTCCTGTGGGTTAATATAGATTTCTGTACCCATCTGAGTGTTTGTTATTTCCTCTTTGAGCCAATTACAATGAGAGTAAAGCTCACACACTCCCACCCACCTCCTACATCTTCCCCTCTACTGTAAAAGTTCTTTTGTGCTTCTTTTATGTGAGATAATTTACTCTATTCTACCTCTCTCTTTCCCCTTCTCCCAGTGCATTCTTCTTTCCTCATCCTTAATTTTATTTTTTTTGATAATCATCACATCATATTCAACTCACACCTGTGCTCTCTGTCTATGTATACTCCTTCTAACTGCCCTAATCATTAGAAAGTTTTTAGGTGTTATTTCCCATGTAGGAATGTAAATAATTTAACCTTATTGAAATACTCATGATTTCTCTATCCTCTTTACTTTTTTATGTTTCTCTTGAGTTTTGTATTTGAAAGTCAGATTTTCAATTCAGCTCTGGTCTTTTCATCAGGAATGCTTGGAAGTCTTCCATCTCACTGAATGTCCATTTTTTCCCTGAAGGATTATACTCAGTTTTGCTGGGTAAGTGATTCTTGGTTGTAATTCTAGCTCCTCTGCCTTATGGAATTTCTATTTTATTCTATTCTATATTCTATGCCCTCCTATCCTTTCATGTAGAAACTGCTAAATCTTATGTTATTCTGACTCTGAATGTATGATATTTGAATTCTTTCTGACTGTTTGTAATATTTTCTCCTTGCCCTGGGAGCTATGGAATTTGGCTATAATATTCCTGGGAGTTTTCGTTTTGGGATCTCTTTCAGGAGGTGATTGGTGAATTCTTTCAATGTCTGTTTTACCCTCTGGCTCTAGAATATCAGGGCAGTTTTCTTTGATAATTTCTTGAAAGATGATGTCGTGGCTCTTTTGTTTTTTTTGATCATGGTAGTTCAATAATTTTAAAATTATCTCTCCTGGACCTATTTTCCAGTTCAATTGTGTTTCCAATGAGATGTTTCACATTTTCTTCTATTTTTCCATTCTTTTGGTTTTGTTTTATTGTTTTTTGATGTCTCATAAAGTCATTAGCTTCCACTTGCCCAATTCTAATTTTTTAAGGAATTATTTTCTACAGTGAGCTTTGGTATGTCTTTTTCCATTTGGTCAATTCTGCTTTTCAAAGCATTCTTTTCCTCATTGGATTTTTGGACCTCTTTTATCATTGGCCTAGTCTGTTTTTCAAAGAGTTATTCTATTCAGCATTTTTTGTGCCTCCTTTACCAAGTTATTGGTTCTTTTTTTTTCATGATTTTCTTGCATCACTCTCATTTTTTCCCCCAATTTTCTCTCTACCTCTCTTACTTGATTTTTAAAATACTTTTTGAGCCCTTCCATACCTGAGACCAATTCATAATTTCTTTGAGGCTTTGGATGTAGGAGTCTTGACTTTGTTGTCTTCTTCTGAATGTGTGTTTTGATTCTTCCTTGTTACCATAATAACTTTCTATAGGTTTTTCTGTTTGTTTGCTCATTTTTTCCAGTGTATTTCTTGACTTTTAACTCTTATGCTAAAGTGGGGCTTTGCTTCCGGAGTGGAGGGTTTTTTGTGCATCTGTTTTCCAAGCTAGTTCTGGGGGTCTGTAAGGTTGCAGTTCTTCCAAGGGGGTATGATGTAAGGAGAGGTGTTTATTACTCTCCTGGTCTGTACTCCGGTCTGTGAGTGACCACAAACACTCTATTTCTGCCCGGGAACTGTGACCAAGGTCCCCACTCTACTGTGGCCATAAGCTCTGGTGTGCTAGTGCTCCTCCTTGCCCCAGAACTGCAACCTGGATCCAACTGTGGGCAATGCAATAGAATCCTGCCCCCAGTGTCAGCAAAGGGACCCCTGTAATCTCTTTCTGACCAAATGTCTGACACCTTTATCATCTGTGGTCTGAGAGTTCTGGAAGCAGCCATTGCCACTGCTGATTCAGTCACTCCCAAGGCCTGCTCCTGGCTTGCTGGGGCCCAGTCTGTGCTGGTGTGGCCTACACTGAACTGTGCTCCACTCTCCCCCTGTCACAACAAACCTTTCCTGTCACTTTCTAAGTTGTCTTGGGGTAAAAAAATTGTTTCACCCCATCGTTTTGTGGCTTCTGCCACTCCAGAATTTGTTAAAGGTATTTGGAGAGGAATTTGGGAGAGCTCAGGTGAGTCCCTGCCTTTTCTCTGCCATCTTGGCTCTCCCCCCAAGAATAATGTTTTTAAAAGCATAAAATAAAATACATAGGATTACAAAGGAAACTACTTATATGAAAATACAATTATCAATTTTTTAAATCAATTTTTCTTAAACCTAGGTTGAGAAGCCCTAACCCATCTCTTCCTTTCACTATTTTTACCTCTGTCTTCATTTCAGGAAAAAATACTCTTCTTTATCCACTGATGACTAAACAACTATAGCTTCTCTCTCTGTAGTTCCTTATAATGTCTACACACAGAGGCAGAAACTCATTTTAGCCCCCCTTTTTTTGTCAAACTTTTTTTTAAATGGTTGTGGGGCAGACCTATGACTTCATCACCTTAGAGAACTCTCAGTATATAAACACCTTCCACAGATACAATTGCATGAATCAATCAGCCAGTATTTCTTAAGCACCTGCTATATATTCCAGTCATTGTGCTAGACACAGGGCATAAAAAACAACAACAAAACAAAATAAAAATGGTTTCTGCCCTCCAGCTTACATTCTACTGGAAAACATTTTTTTTGCCCTAGGATTTAATAAAAATCACATTTTATGATCATAGATTTAGAAGTAGATGGGTACTCAGAGATCATCTAATCCAACCATATTCTTCATTTTTTTCTTTTTTTTGTTAATTTTAGACTTGAATACCAAAACTTAAATATATAATAAGTAAAGAAAAAGAAACATAGTATAAACTTAAATATTAAAACAAATATAAAAGAAAAAAGAAAAAACATGTCATGTGTACAGCAGAACATAAGAGATGATTCAAAATATATAGCCATAAATTTCCATTTCAAGAAAGCCTATACATTAAATATTATGCATTATGTTGAAAGTTGTCCATCTTTTCTTTACTTCCTTATAGGTTTTCTTTTGTTCTCTGCTGTACATTTTTTACTTTGTTCTTTTTCCCCTTCCTCTCCCTTACCCCCCAGAGGCTAAAATTGAGTGGATTTATTTAAATATAGATATTGATATACACATACATGTATACATATACACATACACATACATACATATATAAATATATACTTTCCTTAAGAGATTCTACTCCTAATCTTTGTTTTTATATTTGTGCATATCACTTATTTCCTATCCCTCCTGACTCTTCTATTTTACTTCTACCCACTACCTTGCCGTCCTATTACTTAACCTACCCCCTCTCCAAGAATCCCTCCTTTATCCTCCCATTCCCATAAATCTAAACACCGTTTTAGATACTCCTTTGACCTATTCCTTCACCCTTCTCTCTAAAGATCCTTCTCTTATCTTCCCAAGGATCCCTCCCTTATCCTCCCATTCCCATTAATTGAAACACCCTTTTATATCCCCCTTTAACCTATTCCCTCAACTTCCCCTCTAAAGATCCCTCCCTTATCCACTCCCCTCTCCCTTGTCCCTTAGCATTATATTTCTTTCTAAATTTAGAAGAATTTTATACTCTTCTGGATGTATATGTATTGTTCCCTCTTGAAGCCATTCCCAATGAAAGTAGGTTTCTGGAACTAACAGTCCTCCTCCCCTATCTAATTTCTCTGTATCTGTTCTTCCTCTCATACCTCATTTGTATAATTACTCTTTTTAGCTGTTCCTGAATACTTTTACTTTTTGAAGTCGTATCATGCTCAGGTCTACCCTCAATCTTTCTTATGAACTACCCAATTGCTAATAACAATCTTAGACATACATTTTACATACATAAAAGGCAAATACTTCGTCCTTATTGAGTTCCTTGTAATTGGTCTTTGGTATGTACTTTATGTTTCTCTTGGTTCTTGTATGTCAAATCTTCTGTTAAGTTCAGGTTTGTTTGTTTTTTTTAAACAAAGTCCAGAAAGTCTGACAATTCATTAAATATCCATTTCTTTCTTTCAGAATTATGCTTAGCTTTGCTGGGTCTATTTTTGCCTGGAACCCCAGTTCTTTTACTCTTAGATATATAGTGTTCCAAGACCTGCAGTCTTTTAGTGTTCCTGCTGCTAAGTCTTGTGTTATTCTAACTGTGGCACTGCCATTTGTAAATTGTTTTTTTCTTGCTGCTCATAATATTTTATCCATGAACAGGGGTTTTTGGGATTTGATGATAACGTTCCTGTAGGTTTTCCTTGTAGAATCTCTTTCAGGTGGTCATTGGTGGATTTTTTTCTATTTCTACTTTCCTCTCTTGTTCTAATGCTTCAGGACAATTTTCTTTAATTATTTCTTGTATTATTGTATCAAGATTTTGATCATAGATTTCAGGTGGTCCAACAATTCTTATGTTTTCTCTTCTTGAGCCATTCTCCAGATCAGTTGTTTTTCTTATGAGGTGTTTCACATTGTCTTCTATTTTTTCATTCTTTATATTTTGTTTTAATATTTCTTGATATCTTATAACTTTACTGACTTCCCCTTGCCGAATTCTGATTTTCAAGGAGTCATTTTCTTCCTTAAGATTTTGGATCTCTTTTTCTAATTGGTTGACTTTCTTTCCATAATCTTGCTTTTCTTGGATAGTTCTTATTTTAGTTTAGTCTAGTTTTTCCTTAATCTCTCTCATTTGATTTTTAAAGTCTTTTTAAGTTTTTCTGTGAATCCTTTTTGGGCAGGTGACCATTTGACATTATTCTTTGGGGTAGAAGAGGGTTTCTTTGCTTCAGTATTTTCCTCTGAAGATGAACCCTGGTCTTCTCTATTCGCATAGTTTAACTCTCTATTTGATTCTTTCTCTTTTGCCTGTGCATTTTTTTAATAGGTTAATTTTTGCAATCACCTCTGGTCCTGGGGTATGGGATGGTACCTCTGGCCTCAGATCCTCCTTCCGTTCTGCTCTGTGATCTTGAACCCAAACCAAGACCTCCAGCCTCCAGTAAGTGCCCACAGCCAGCAACCTCCCTGCCGTACTGCTTCCAGCATGTGCTGGTTCCTTCTTGCCCCAGGCAGCCTCTCCACAGCACAGCTGGGTCTGGCATTCCTTGTTAGCAGAGGTTCCCTAAGTCTTCCCTCTTCCCCGGCTCAGACACTCAACTCCCCTCACTATTCCAGGAGTAAAAGTTCCTGTGGCTGGGATTGAGACGGCCTCCCAACACAACTAACCCCAGGGCTTGCCTGTTATTTAAGTGGTCCCTAGCCTGGAGGTGTTTGCCCTTCATAGGGACCAAACCTTGTCCTGGGACTTTTCTTCAGATCTTCTCAGATTGTCCCAGGAGGACCCCTGTTCTGCCCATTCTTTTATTTATTTTTACTGCTCTGTGTTTGCCCTGAGGCCTGTTTTATCTCTTTTGTGGAGGAAAATCTTGAGAGCTTGGAATTTTCTGACCTACTCTGCCATCTT